CCATAAATGTCAGGGAATAACATATATGTTTTTAAAAATATTTTTATTTCATAAAATGCATGATTACACATATAAATGTATTATATTTTATACTATATATTTTAATTTATTGCATTTGTATTAATGGCATTGCCTTTTATTTATTAATAATTTAATATTCAATATTAAATTCCTTGTAGTCCTTCCTAAACCAACTGCTCCTGTGGTATTTCCCATCTCATTAATGGCATCTGTTCCACCACTTGTTTAAGCCAACAACCTTGAAGATGGCTTTGACTACCCTCTTTTGCTCACTAGCCCATATCCAATTCATGAATAAACCTACAGTCTCTACCTTCAACATTTACCCAGAATTGACTTTTGTCACTACCTCCACAGCAGCTTGGTCCAAGCCATCATCATACTAACTTATTACTGTAACCAGTAATATCAGAACAGAATAAATTTTTCTATTTCTCTATCACAGAACATTAAATAACTATTTTGTAAGTTTTGATGAGTGTAAAACATTATGGTGAATGATGACATTAACAGATCTCCAGACTTGCTGTAAAGCACTTGATTTCTAAAATATTCATGTCAATAACATTTTATTTATACATATTTAACCTGGGCCAGTCTGTGTATATATTGCAATTTGACACATTCCTGTGCAACTCTTACTGTCATAATACAACAAACAAACTTAAACTAATTATTTCTAGCATGTGTTTTTATAAAACAGTAAAATAATAAACTTTTGGCTTTTTCCATGATTTCCCTCTAGGAAATCTCAAAGATAGTTTTTGTATAAAAGATGTCCTGAAATTTAATTTTTTTTCTATATTTCATGTTGAGTTGTGGAGAGGCAATTTAAAATATTCTCAAAGGAAATTTAGGGACTTGATTAAGACCAGATAATGAACACCTAAGAAACTATCTCCAGAACTGTAAGAAATGAATTTCTATTTTTTATTTAAAAAATAAATATTTAAACAAGCATAGAATAAACACAGAATGCTAGTATTACTGCAAAGAACCTTAGCTCTTTAATAAGTGAGAACCTTTATTTTTCTTTTCTTAAATAATCAATAATATGATAAAGTCAATATAAAGCCCCAAAATTATTCTGGTAAGACACAGAGTCTTCGCCATGTAAGCAGATTACACATAAGGTAAACAAACTTTGACATTATAAGTAAAGGTACTAATCAGTAAACCAAGGAAGCAAACCCATCAGAATTGAGAAAATTTTGTTATAATTATTAATATTTCATAGCTTTTATCAAGACTCAGTTAAGTTTTCTGCTTAATTATGCTCTTTCCTATTGTGGAACCAACTGATATTTTATGATAGTAGTTCTCTCTTGGGGTATCTGTGATGTCAAACTAGTACTAATATAATGATAATACTAGGATGATATTAATGTCAGTATGCAATGTGCTCATCATTGCTTTCTTCAAGTACATCAATCGATAACTAACTTTTCAATTAGCAGACTAGCATCACTCATGAATATACATAACACAGCTTTCTGAAGCTACATAGTTAAAGCCCGAATGTCTGTGTTCCCCCAATGCCTATATCAAAGTCCTATCCCCCAATGTGATGGTATCAGTAAGTGGTGTCCTTCTGGAGGTTATTAGGTCATGAGGGTGGAGCCCTCATGAATGGGATTCACACCCTTAGAAAAGAGACCCCAGAGAGGTCTCCACCCTTTCTGCCATGTGAGGCTGCAATGAAAATGGCCATCTGTGAACCAGGAAGCGGGTTCTCACCAGACATCTGTCAGGGCCTTGATCTTGGACTTCCTAGCCCCCAGAACTGTGAAAAATAGAAGTCTGGTTTAAGCCACTGAGTGTATAGTATTTTTTTAAGATTTTACTTATTTATCTTTAGGGGGGAAGGGAAGGAGAGAGGGAGAGAAACATCAATGTATGGTTGCCTTTCATGCATCCCCTGCTGGGAACTGGCCTACAGGGAACCAGCCTGCAACCCCAGTATGTGCCCTGACTGGGAATCGAACCACGGTTGTTTGGTTCACAGGCCTGCACTCAATCCACTGAGCTACACCAGCCAGGGCTAGTGTATGATAATTTTTTTGGCATTCCTGAACAGACTAAGACATACATCTCTTACATATTCTTAAAGTAGCAAAAAAACTGACTATGTGTGTTAATATAACCCCAAACTATAGCATCTCCATAGAAAAATGAAAAGCCAGATGATGTAATGATTATCGATTAATGAACTCAATTTGATATCAGTCCTAGGTTTGAGGTTTGGATTTGGGTGGCTCTGAATTCAGTAATAAACTAGTGAGGTCATTGACTTTATTTGACATTTACAATATTAGATTAAATTTTCAGCCAGAGAGCAAAATGGGAACTATACAGAGAATAGTAAGTACTCATAAAAGTAAATTAGACCCACAAACACCTGAATTTAAGACCCTCTTATATCTGCTCTCTGTAATATATCTATTTATTTAGGAATGAGCCAACATACCTACTTGATTACCAGAAGATTCTCAACTAAGTAACAAAGTAGCAAAACTACTGATTAAATCTTATAAGCCTAAAATAAAATAACTATGAGATATTTGCATAGATCACTTTTTCCATGCAAATGCTTAGACATTCTTTTCTGAATATGCTCATATAGAAAGACTTAGGAGATTAAGGGAAAGGGTGTAAGATGAAAAGAATACCAATCCGCAAGAACAAAAGTCATGTTTAAGCACAGACCACATTAATAAAAGTTTATTTTCAGAAGGGATCATAACAAACTTAAGGAGAGGGAGCAGGAAAGAGCTTTCTTTATCAGAGTAAGATCTGGTTCATATTTATTTCCCTTGAAGGCTACAATTCGACTGTGTTTAGAGAATCTGAGGATTCCCTATACTGGAAATAAGGCAAGGTATTATTAGACACAAAAGAAAAACAGCTGTTTGTGTGTTCACTCAGCAGTCTCGTCTGTGAAGAAACACACATTAGGTTTACAAGTTGTAATTTAAATAATCCAATGTTAAGGACTAAATCAACACAGAATTAGTTCTCTGGATTTTCCTATCTCCAGCGTGTAACCATGGGCAGAATGAGGATATAATGCCCCATCTGGGTTTACAGGAAAAGATAGAGTAAAAATAAATAAATAAAGTCCTAAGTTATTTGCATAAAATTTTATTATAAAATTCTTTGATTACTCTTATTAAGATAGTTGGTGGGGCCCTGGCTGGTGTAGCTCAGTGGCCCTGTAGCTGGTGAGCACAGACCTGCGAACGAGACGATAGCAGTCCGATTCCCAGACAGGGCACATGCCTGGGTTGCAGGCCAGTTCCCAGCAGGGGACGCATGAGAGGCAACCATACATTAATGTTTCTCTCCCTCTCTCCTTTCCTTCCCCTCTAAAGATAAATAAATAAAATCTTAAAAAAAAAAAAGATAGTTGGTGTGTTTCCTATTAGCTCTCCTGTCTTTTAGTCTGCATTTATATATTTTGTACTTTGAAAAAAGATTTTTATATTATCAACATAACATATGCTTATTATAGAAAATTTGAAAGAAATGGTATAATCCTGCTACCCAGACATCATGACTGTTAAAATTTTGTTATATATTCCTTAATGATTTTCTCTATACATTTATACATCTGTTTTATGTATAGTTGATATCATAGCACATAACTAATTTTCATCTTACATTTAAAAATATAAGCATATTCCCATGGTTAGAAACACTTCAGAAAAAACCTTTTATTGATTGTTTAATTTTCTATTTATGTTTTACCACAACACTCTCAACTACTAATATATTTGAACACTGTGTTTATTTTCTTAGTCTAAAATTTAAAATAATATAATTTCTAACATAAAATGTCGTCTTTAAAGTGACTATTTTTTAAGCTTTCATCTAGGGCTACTTTTTCTTTTTTTTTTTTTAACATTTTGTTCACTTATCTTAGAGGGGAAGGGAAAGAGAGAGGGAGAGAAATGTCAATGTGTGGTTGCTTGTCGTGCATTCCCTGCTGGGACCTGGCCTGCAACCCAGGCATGTGCCCTGACTGGGAATCGAACCGCGATCCTTTGGTTCGCAGGCCCCGTAGGGCTACTTTTTCTCCATTACCTCTCCACACGCTGTACCCCCACCTATACCACACACAGGATGCATTCCTAGAAGTTGAATTACTGGGTCAAAGGGGATGAACATTGCTTTGAACTGAACTGTGTCCCCCTAAAATTCATAAACTGAAGCTCCTACCCCCAATGTAATCGCATCAGGAGACAGAGCCTCTAGGAGGTAATTAAGGCTAAATGAGGTCGTCAGGGCAGGGTGGAATCCCACTGGAGTTGGGCCTTATGAGAGAAGGACCTGAGAGCAATCTCGCTCCCCTCCGTGAGCATAGGGAGCGAGGGCATCGGCCCACCAAGCAGGCTCTCGGAGGAACCGATTATGCTGGCACTCGCCTTTCCCAGCCTCCAGAACTGTGAGAAATAGGTTTCTGTTGTTTAAGTCTCCTACTCTATGGTATTTTGTTATGGCAGTCTGAGCAGACGATACAAACATTTTAAAAGTTACTGACTCATATTCATAAATTACTTTGCTGAAAGGTGTTACTGGTATAGACCACTCCAGCAGTGTATAAAGAGCCCCACTGCTCTTGTACCCTTACTTGCATATTTAAACTTTTTTAAATTTTATTTTTTAATACAGATCTATTTATCTATCTATCTATCTATCTATCTATCTATCTATCTATCTATCTATCCATCCTCTTAAAGTTTTTTGAAGCTTGTTCTTTTAACATTTCATTTCATCAAATTAGACTTAGCTTCCATGGAATTCTTTCATGGATGTACCACTATATTTTGAAATTCCCAGTGTCAGTAATATTTCATAGAGATAAAAATGTCCATGCAGGAATCCCAAAACAAAGCCAACAAACACATAAGAAAAAAATTTAAAACTTTCCATCATTTTATTGTCTCCACTTTTATATTTGTAGGAAAGAAAAGCTAAGAACTAAGACTTGAGGTGGTTTTAGGGCCATTTATTTATAAGATCAACATTCAAAGACCTATGATATAGGTCCTTTTCAATTTAAAACCCTCACCTACTTTGCGGAAAAAAAAAAAAGATGGTCATTTTTGTTAGAAAACAGTAATACAGAAAAATGGCTATAGAAACAAAGTATATGCTCCCTCAGTAATTTCTCTTAGCATGCTTCTAAATAAAGCCATGGTAGCAGAACACCCTTTTCCCCCCTGTGCACCCTAAATTGCTATTTGTTCATGTAGAGTAATTTTCTCTCCTTCGGCACGCAACAGAAACCAGTGACTGAAGAAGCAGAATGAAATTAAGAACTAAATTCCTCTCCCCATCCACTCCTGTACTGAGAACATTATGCTGTGCTCTGTGGAGAATGCAAATATTTACAGCATAAGTTAATGTGCCACTAACTAGTGAAAGAAATTTGCCCATTATTGCCACTGACAATTACCTTGCGGATAAATTCAGGGTTGTGACTTCATGTCTGACTCACTTTTCCATTCTCACTCCATCCTTCACTCACCTGCTCCATTCAGTATTACTTTACAGCACATCGTGCACTGGTTTCCCAACTTTGCCCTGAGTTGGCACCAAGGGAGTGGGAATGAAAATATCTTTCACGTCAGTCTGTCTTGCCTCACAGCATTCTCAAGCTGTTTTCCCCCATTTTAGCATTTTCAAGGGCAGTTCTGTCCTCTGAAAGCTGGTTGGGTTTCCATGGAAGAGGTGCCTGCAGAGCCGATCATTGAAAAAAGAAGAGAGAAAATTAAATTCTCCTGTGCTGACTTAATGACAGAAGAGGGCAATCCAATGTCAAACAAAGGCTATTTCAAAAGTCGATCTTAATGAATATTTGTTTTATAGAAAACCCAGCCATAATGCCCTTAGCCCAGGAAATTGTTCTTATGGGCTTGGAGTTTGCATCTTAAGGTTATTTTTATAGCATCTATGTTGGTTTTCAATTGCCATAAATAGAGGAAAAAAAACCCAACAAACCACTGCGTTGAGGAATTGGAATGATAATTTGAGCAGACTGATGAGTGGGTAGGCTATGGAATAAAAATGCCAGCTCTTCATATAGAAAAAATGTTCTATTTCAGAAAAAACAAAACTTCTGTGGTTCTAAAAAAGTCATTTCGATGCTGCTTGTTTTGTTCAGCAGTGCAGGTATAGCGAGTCTAACTTCTCAAATGTCTCATGCTCTTTAAATTGAACAGAAAAAAATATGTAATTAGGTGTGTATAATTTACTTGGAATGAAATTCAGTTCAAATCTAATTTTTCCTCCATGCCCCTTGTAGTGGAAAATGCCAGTTTTTTTAAGTCTTATAGGAGAATGATGTTTCCTTATATTGGGATCCAATACAATTGAAGTCACTCTGGAAAATAATGTTCATGTAGTTTCAATGGAGACTTTTAGAAAAGACTTGTGTCTCATGCAAAGAACATTTTGATTCCTATTGGAAGTCAGGTGGTGTTTCTCATCTTTCTGTTGACAGGTATCCCTCTCCTAGAGGGTAGCCCAGGAAAGCTGCAATTCCCCTGCACTTGGACTAGGAGCTAGAGAGTGAGTGCACTGGGGATTCCGCCAAAAGAGGAAACCTCTAACAGCATATCAACGTGCCATAAAATAGTAAGTCACAGCTTTATCAAGACTGCTTAAGACAATGTGTTTTAGACAAATTAGAAATGACTAGGCCCTGATCTAAAAGAAAAATAATAACCATATTGCAAGATCACTCTGTGCCAGGCTGTATACTACCTGGGTCACTTGTATTACATCATGAAATTCTCATAACCACCCTGCAAAATAGTTACTATTATTATTTCCATTTAAAGGGTGAAGTTACTGAGACTGAGAGATGTTAATTTATTTCCCCAAGATCACACAGCCATGATGTGTTAGAACTGTGATTTGGATCTACAATTTGGAAACCACTTTATTGCCCCTGATTCTCCACAAAGTCTTTGAGGTTATAAGCAGCATGTCTGTGATGGAGGAGTTGAAATATAACATTTCTGTGACCCCCATATTATTAAGGTATATTTTGTTCCCTATAAAGGAGCTGAAGGTATAAATTTGACACTTTGGAATAAGTACATGTTTTAAAGATTTCACCATGCTTGATTTTTTAAACTGGCAAATGGTCTTAGTTTCCCTAATGTAGCTGTGAATGTAGGGCCCAGGGCCTCTTGTTGTCTTTTAAATGCTTTGCAGTTCTGTAAATTGCAGGAAAGTTGGGATAATGCAGATGCTTCTCGTCTCTATAAAGGCAAATGAATTTCATCCAGAGGAATACAGATGATCTTCATTTTGTATTTGTATATAAATTCATGATTGCCCCACCAAGGTTTTTTTTCCCTTTAACACTTCCTTCCCTCTGAGTATCTATTACAGGGCCAACTCCAGCCCAAACTTTGTCTTTGTCTGGTCCACTAAGAATGATGTTTGCATTTTTAGTGAACAAAAAATATTTTGTGTCATGTAAACATTGTACAAAATTCAGCTTTAGTGACCACAAGTAAAGTCTGATTGGAACAGCCACGCTAATTAGTTTACATATTTTCTATGGCTGCTTTCCCGCTACAACAGCAGAGTTGAGTAGTCACTACTACAGAGACCAGGTTCAACCTTCTTGGCCTTTACCTCCTCCCTACTCATCTACACATTTTGACTCTTTCCTGGATCTGCCCTGACCAGACTCCCAGCAACTGAAAGTATTCTGAAATCGCCTTTGTTCTTTGAGCTCCCAAAACACTGGACAGCCCCATCAGGAGAGGAGGTGTGGGTGGGGCTACCAGCAACCGCTGCTGTCTGTTTTGTTCCTGGGGTTATTTCCTCCCCCCCCAACATTGTCTCTGCTTCACTGACCTCTTTTGGCCAAACCATTGCTGCCTACCTTTGCCTCCTCCCTAATCCAGCTCTGTAGTATTACAAAAAAAATCACATTCATTTGCTACTATTCTAGTGTGAACCACATTAATTTAAAAAGTTACATAAATTTGATTTTGCTCTTTACTTATGTATCTATATAAAATCCCAGATTTTGCCCTTGGCCTACAAAGCCTAACGGGCCTATCTCTAAACCTTTACCGAAAAAGTTCGTCTACTCCTGGTCTATACGTGATGGGTACTATTCTAGCCCCTGGGGATAAAATAGTACTTGTAGGGACCAACAAAAAAAGTACATATTGTCCCTCTTAAAAGAAAAACTGAAAGAAAACAAATGGATAATTATGTATGTGCAGGAGACTATGCGGGTTCTTAGATAATACACACCACAGTGTTTGGGGTAAAGGTGTATGAAGTGTGCAACTTACTCTCAAATGGTTCAATTGAAACAGTGTATGTCTGTCTACAAAATTTTGAGGGCGAGTACTAATTTATTTAGCACTGAAAATTTTTCATTTCAATTTTATTTTTACCAGTGACATTTCTTTTGTCAATGTAGATACTACGTAGGTGTTATTTCTCACTCTCTCTCTCCCCTTCCTTCCTCCTTTTCTTCTTCTCTTTGCTATTGTAGTTTTCTCCTTGTCTTTGGTTTTCTTCATTTTTAATTAGAAGTATCCAGATATAGGTTTCTTTTTTAAAATGTATCCTGTTGAGGACTCATATTATTCCAAGGCTGTGTTTTTGTTTTCGAGGAATTCTCTGCCATTTCCCCTTTGAATAGTGCCTCCCTTTATTACCTCTTTTCTCTCTCTTTGGAACTTCTATTAGCTGTATGTTGGACCTTCTTATTTTCTTCCACATCACTTAACTTTGCTTTTATAATCTCCATTTTAAAAAATCCTCTGTGCTGTAATTTCCTTGAATTCATTTTCTGATTTAATAATCATTTCTCTTGATGTTTCTAGTCCATCTGTTTAACCTATTTGTTGAGGTAGTTCCTCTTTTTTATTTTAAGATTTTATTTATCTTTAGAGGGGAAGGGAAGAAGAGAGGGAGAGAAATATCAATGTATGGTTGCTTCTCATACATGCCCTGCTGGGAACTGGCCTGCAACCCAGGCATGTGCCCTGACTGGGAATTGAACTTTGATCTTCTGGTTCGCAGGCCTGTGTCCCATCCACTGAGCTACACCAGCCAGGGCAAGGTAGTTCCTCTTTTTAAAAAATAAAATATAAGCTCAATTTATATATCTTTATCATTTTATTTCCAGTATCTAAAATAGTGCTAGAATTTTGTAAATGTTCAATAAATATTTGTTTAAAAAATTAGCCCTGGCCAAGTAGCTCAGTTGGTTACAGCACTGTCCCAATACACCCAGACTGTACATTTGATTCCCAGTCAGGGCACATACCAGAATCAACCAATGAGTGCATAAATGAGTGGAACAACAAATTGATGTTTCTCTCTCTCCCCCTTTCTCTCTCTCTAAAAATCAACAAATAAATCTTTTTAAAAATTAATGAATCCACAAAGTTCTATTCTTTTCCAGATATTTCTATTTTCATCTAATCTGGTGCTTTCATTTTATTTTTTTATTTTCTTTTTTAAATGTATTTTATTGATTATGCTATTACAGTTGTCCCATTTCCCCCACCTTCACTCCCATTTGCCCTGCACACCCCCTCCCACCCACATTTCCTGCCTTTAGTTCATGTCCATGTGTCATAAGTTCTTTAGCTTCTACATTTCCCACACTATTCTTGCCCTCCCCCTGCCTATTTTCTACCTACCATCTATGCTACTTATTCTCTGTACCTTTTTCCCCTCTCTCCCCCTCCCACTCCCCTGTTGATAACCTTTCATGTGATCTCCATTTCTCTGGTTCTGTTCCTGTTCTAATTGTTTGCTTAGTTTGTTTTTGTTTTAGGTGTGGTTGTTAATAACTTTGAGTTTGTTGTTATTTTACCATTAATAGTTTTGATCTTCTTTTTCTTAGATAAATCCCTTTAACATTTTCTATAATAAGGGCTTGCTGATGATTAACTCCTTTAACTTGACCTTATCTGAGAAGCACTTTCATTCTGCCCTCCTATTCTAAATGAAAACTTTGCTGGATAGATCAGTCTTGGATGTAGGTCCTTGCATTTCATGACTTGGAATACTTCTTTCCAGCCCCTTCTTGCCTGTAAGGTCTCTTTTGAGAAATCAGTTGACAGTCTCATGGAAACTCCTTTGTAGGTGACTGTCCCCTTATATTTTGCTGCTTCTAGAATTCTCTCCTTCATTTTAATATTGGGAAGTGTAATTATGATGTGCCATGGTGCGTTCATCCTTGGGTCCACCTTCTTTGGGACTCTCTGAGCTTCCTGGACTTCCTGGATGTCTATTTCCTTTGCCAGATTGGGCAAGTTCTCTTTTATTATTTGTTCAAATAACTTTTCCACTTGCTCTTCTTCTCTTTCTGGCACCCCTATAATTCAGATGTTGGAACGTTTAAAGATGTCCTGGAGGTTCCTAAGCCTCTCCTCATTGTTTTGAATTCTTGTTTCTTCATTCTTCTCTGTTTGGATGTTTCTTCCTTCTAGTCCACTCCATTGATTTGAGTCCCAGTTTCCTTTCCACCATTATTGGTTCCCTGTACATTTTCCTTATTTCACTTAGTGTAGCCTTCATTTTTTCATCTAATTGCAACCAAAATCAACCAATTCTGTGAGCATCCTTCAAAATCAGTGTTTTGAACTGTGCACCTAATAGGTTGGCTATCTCTTCACTGTTTAGTTGTGTTTTTTCTGGAGTTTGATCTATTCTTTCATATGGGCCAATTTTTTTGTTTGT